TAATTTTCAAATAACCAAGAAAAAGGAAAAAATACATTAAAATTCTTGGTTTAAAATTCAAAATTGTTTTGGTACCCAAGAACTCTTGGTACCAAAAGATTTAGGGACATGACCCCTATCATTAAAGCTCAAAGCCCTAGGGTTATGAACCCTCTTGGGCACATATGGTGCACTAACATGGTCAAAATAATATTCATTCAAATGACCCTTCCGATTGCAATTTGTGCAATGAAAGAGATCCATTTGTTTTTGTGGACCATTAGCTCGTGCACTTGAATCATTTGCAAATAAAGATTTTCTTTTAAAATTATTTTGCAAATGAGAAACATTCTTAAACAATGGTCTATTTGGAACATATTGCAATTTAGAAGCTTTTTGTATATCAAAACAAAATTTAGCAAGATGTCCAAACCTACCACAAACATCACATTTAAAAACATGTGGTCTATTGGAAGCATTTGTCAAATGAGATTTTCTTTTCAAATCAAAGCAATATTTGGCCAAATGACCAAAACGACCACAATAATCACACTTGAACACACTAGCATGCTTATGATGAACTTTGTGAGAATGAGCATGTGAATGTGTAAGTGTACAAGATGAAGAAGCTATATGAGATGCACAAGGAACATTAGAATTCTTATGTTTGTGTGCATCATAACAAAACTTAGCTAAATGACCTTGACGGCCGCAAATAGAACACTTATAAGTTTTGCTATACATGTGTGCATAATGAGTAGATGATTTTGATTTAGTCTTGGCACACATGTCCATAAGCCTCTTATGATTATTAATGCATATTTTCAAAGTTGAATCTAAAGATGAAATACTATTTTTCATAAGATTCAAATCTTCATTTTTAGGCACATATGCATTTTTAGAAGTAGAACATAAATAGTTATTTATAAAAGAAGCTGTATCATTCTTTATGTTCTCTACTTCTAACATGGCATCAATCTTAGCATGAGATAAGCTAGAAATGGATGATGATAATTTCTCATTTTCCAATTTTAACATATCATTACTTTCTTTAAGAGCAACATTTTCTTTGGAAATGATATCAAAATTGGAAGCTAGCTTCTCATGATCGGATTTTAAAACATCATGCTTGCTTTTTAAATCATTAAAATCATTTTGCAATTTGTTAAAGGCATGCAATAATTTTTCACTAGCACACGCAAGTTCATCACTAGATAAATCATTAGTTGTTTCGAACTCGCAAACCTCACTAGGGCTATCGCCTAGTGGCCGTGTGCATGATGCTCCACATGAACTTGAAGCGGGATCCTCCAAAGCTTGTCGGATCGCCTCCAAGTCCCCTTGATGTGCTTCAATAAATTTCCATAAGGTGTAAGCACTATCAAAAGAATCAAGCTTGTTAGACATAAATGAATCAAATGCATTTAATAAAAATTCTAACATAAGCTTGTTCATAATAAACATCTTTTTATCATGTTTGCTCCACTTGGATTTCTCCAACGTGGGCACAATATAAGCACAATCAATGATTTCCCATAAATCGATATTTTTAGATTGAACAAATATTTTGAATCTAAAACACCATTGAGCATAAGGGAAAGCATTGAATTTAGGAGCAATACTAGAATCATAGCCTAAACAAGATGCATCATTCATATCCATAATTTGTAAAAATATGCAAGCAAGATACAAATGCAATCAAAACAAGATTAGCACAAAAAGATAACTTGGATCTTTAACTCAAGGCGATTAGACCTTAAATCAAAGAGCACCAAGCTCTGATACCAATTGTTAGACCCTAGAGGGGGGGTGATTAGGGTCTTATGCTAATCTAATCCGATTAAATGCCAATTAAAAATAATTAACAACTATATTCTTGCAAGATAGGTATACAATCTATTATGGGCAAGAATATGCAATATACACAAAGTGATATATCCTATATGATGAAATATATGCAAGGATATATAAACAACACAAGGGTAAATAATATAAACAAGATAGTGGATGAAATAGATAATGAGCTAATGACAATGGCGATATAAGATATGAACATAAATATGAATGAACGCCAAAGCACACTCAAACAAGCAATATGATCACGGAGTTCGGACCTTCCGTCCTACGTCTCCGCTCCCCACTCCCGGGGAGAAATCCACTATCAACCGGGTTTTCTACGTTCACCCGAATAACGTTTACACCTCACAGTATCGGTTTTCAACGCTCACCGATCAACGTCACTCCTCACACTCGGTTTCTAGCTCACCGAAAACCTCACTACACACTCGGTTTCTAGCTCACCGAAAACCTCACTACACACTCGGTTTCTAGCTCACCGAAAACCTTACAACACTCACAATGTAACAAATATAAATTTGTTCTCTACAATAGATGAGAACACAATGAAAGCACAACTCAAAGTTACAATCTCTCACCACCCAACTATACTATGTATGTAAATACTAAAAGCTCAATGTGGGTGTGTGTAACAATGAGTAAAATGAAATCTAACTCAAATAGCAAACTAGCAATAATTAATATATGATAAATCAATAATGAAATTGCTAGGGAAAAGAGTTAGAAAACTTCTCTATAAACACAAAGAGAGGATGAGAAGATTTTGAGGATGAAATCCTCAACTGGTGATGCAAACTCCTCTTTGTAACAGCAAACCCCAAAAACAAACTAAACAAACTCAAACCCTTGTTTAAAACTTTCTTAAACTTGTTTTTAAAACTCTCTTAATCAAATTGAAAAGACATCAGCAATGGGGTATATATACCCACTAGAAATCTCAGCAAAAACCCCCAAAACAAAATGACCAAAAACCCCAGCAAACAGCTCAGAGAAAGAGCCGTTAAAAAGCAACGGCTATATTGTCGGTCGACCGAAAATTCCGTCGGTCGACCGATGAGAGCAAAAACACGAAGAAAACTTTCTGGACCATCGTCGGTCGACCGGAAAAATCTGTCGGTCGACCGGATGGAGCTTTCGGTCGACCGGACCGGTCGACCGACAGACTCTCTGTCGCCCAGTGAACATATGAACTCAGGTTCGGTCGACCGGGGCGGGCGACCGAAAACTGATATGAAAACTGTTTATCTGATTTTGAAATGCTGTTTAAAAATATCAAATAAATTCCAAAAAATGTAAAACTTTGGGGAATGATTGTAGACATGATAATAAACATGCTACAACGACTGGTTTCGAAAAAGGACTTCCCAAATGAAAAATATCATCATTTTACAAAATAGTCCAAAACATGAAAACCTGAAAATTGATATTTTGATATTTTGACTTAAACAACATTTTGAAACCTTATGAAATGATTGTATAGACTTGATAAAAGATATAATATGTTGTTATGAAGTCTATAACCTAGAAATGCAATATTTTCATAAAATTGCATATTCTATGCAAATATATTCAAAACACTAAATATGATTTCATTAAATATAAGCTTGTTAAAGGTGAAATCATATATAGGCATATAAACATGAAACAAAATAGTATTTTCCAATTCTATTCATTTGTTTCATAGTAAAACTTGAAAACTATCAAACCAAAACATATATGTATATATATAACTATATATATACAAAAACCAAAACGTGTATGTGTGTATATGATTGAGCTTAAAGTACTAACACACATAATATAAATTCCTAAACTAAATTACCCAAGCAATGATCTTGATCTTCAATAAGCTTGACTTGGTAATCTCACGGATGGAGCTTGAACTTGGATCTTGAACTTTGAATAGCAAGGCTTCACCGACATTCCGCCAACCTCCTTTGGATATGATCGTTGAAGCTCTATTCCATCCATCCTCCAACAACGTTGTTTGTCTACAATACATAGGAATACACAAACACTAGACAAACAACATTAGTAGTAAATTGTTTGTAAATCATCATCAAAACAAGAAGGCCAACAATACATGGGTAGTCTTCATGTGTAGCTAGCACCTCTGTTGCTGTAGGATTTCTCTGGGGAATGGAGGAGAGAGAGATGAGTTTATACGGTAATGAAAGGGGTATTTTGGGAACTTTACCCTATTTTTGTATAAATAGAAGTTTGTTAAGTATTGTATTTTGGAGATTTAAATATAAATACAAAAAGAGAGTTGGGCTTAAATCTACAAGTAATACTACTTGGGTTTAAAGATAAAGGGGAGTAAACAAATAGGCCTAAAAACAAAAACCCTATTTTGATTCACTACTTTGATTTTTCTAGGGAATGGGGGATAAAACAATCTAAGTACCTAACCATTTTGCTATATTTGCATTAATATATGTTAAAAATGATTTTCTACCATAAATTACCTTTACAATATTAACCCTATCAGTATGATCTGATATCTTGTACCTTCAAGAAGATTATATAAGAGCATCTCCAACCCAACTCCAAAAAATCCATTTTGACGCAAATCCAGCGCCAATTCTTCCTCTAGCCCAACGTCAAACTTAGCGTCATTTTAAAAGGGTGCTACAATGTTGCGCCAGGAATGACGCAACACTATAGATATGAAGATTTTGGTTTTTCCCAAGTTTGTCCTTATAGTTTGTTATAACAAATCAAATATTCCAACCATATCGCATTTTATAGTTTGTAAATAGAAAGAATATTCTTTTTGATGTAAAATTTGGTATAATGGTTGGAAATAGAATAGTGATTTGATATAAAAACTACATCAACTTGGTGTAAAAACTACACCATTTTAAATTTTTGGGTTGGAGATGTTCTAACTCACTACAAACAACAGGGACAAAACCTTCATCACAAATTTTGGATTGGGGTACGTAAACCCATCTCTGTTTATTTCAACTTTCTACTCAATTAACAATTATCGTATTGTTCAGAATATTCATAGTAAATTATTAGATAGTCCGACAACAAACTGCCAGAATATACCATACTATAAGTCACAGAAAACTGGTTAGTATGCAGAAAATTAAGTTTTTTTTAAAAATCTATCTAACATAAAGTATATGAGCAGAACAACCCCAAGAAATTTTGGATACTTAAAATGCAATTAAGCCAATATATATAAACAAGCTTTACATAACCACAAAGGTTTTCGTCCAGGCACAAGTAAGAACAGGCAACAGTTTATATGCACACTGGGTTGCATCCAAATCATCATGAATCCCAAGAGCAATTTCAGAATACAGCACATAATACAATTCCAAATGAAATTCTGTTGCTTGCAAAATCAAACTCACACAAGAAGAGTGGCCGCGAGAGGCAATTTAGCCTTCAAATTTACAGATATTTGAGGAGAGCCCAAACAACAGCAGCCAATATCACAATAACCACCACCAAAATTAGAAGACATCCACACGAGCAACCTGCCTTTGTTCGTTTGTTCAGAATAGCAAGTCTCTTCTGCACGCGCTGCATCAGGATGTAGTAGACGACTAACAAACTTTATTAAAATCATTTTAGTTTCATAATTTTCTGAAAAGAGAGCTAAAATTTTTCCTTGTTCATAAACTTTCAACCAGTTGAAGTTTGTCAAAACAAGTTATAAGAAATGGTTTAATTGCATATACACCCTCTGTAATATGGCAATGCAGCCACTTACACCTCCTAAATTATTTTATGAGCACTGACACCCTGAATCTTAAACAATGTTACTTTTTTGCCCTTAATATAGACGGCAATTTGGTCTTTTTCCAGTTAAATTAAAGGCAAGAGGTAATTTATAGCCATGTGATTCCCACGTGATATGATACCTCCAACCGAAGGGGAGAAACAATGTGGTCCAGAGCTCAAGGGATGAATGTACTAGTAAAATAGTCCGGGGCTATAAATGATACGCCCTCATGCGTACAGCGAGTGTACATGCAATTAGCCCTTGAAAATTTAGTAACAATTTTTTATAGACAAGTATCATTCAGAATTCAGTGTAGGCTTCAATTACTGGCATATCTTTAAAAAGACCTGCATTGCAGGTCATATATTCAGAGCTTTAGCTTGTAAAAATGGAACTACTCTCATTCAGTGGAACTTTAAGGTACAAAATATGGACATTAAGTTAGCAAATAAGAAAACAAACCAACCTGAAGCCTCGAGTCTGTGACATCCACATGTTGGTCCAAATTATCCTGCATAGTAAATAAAACAAACAAGGATCAGCACCAGTTGAAACTGCAAAAGGAAATTAAGAATACACACTGTAAGATGATCAAATCCTCTGAACATACTATCAATCTGGCATGAAGATCCAATTCTTCGTTCACTGCCAAGGCAATATGCTTCGTGCTAAAGACTGTCTCCTCTAGCTTGTCAAGGCCCTGATCTTGCTCTACAAATAATACATAAGCTCTATTAGAGTGTAAATCATAGACCTCAACCCTCGACATAACTTCAGGACCTTGGTGAATGACTAGGGATTTATAGTGTATTCTTATTCTTTTCATTCAAATCCGGGTAGAGAATTGTTGATGGTATCAAAGCAACCCATCTGATTAAAAACTAGTGTAAATTACAGGAAATCCTCATCTATATTCAATTTTTTAGGAAACCACATCTATAAATTAAATATTATATAATAAAAAACATTTGCCTTGCTTTATAAGTTTAGTTAGTAACTTAGTATGCATGACAAAGAGGCTCAATCTGCAAGGGCATGTTAAGAGTACAAAATTGTAAACCTCAACCCTCATGACAAATTTGGAGATATGTTGCAGCGGAAAGGACCTTTAACAAAATTTAAAAATGGAATCAAATATGAAATATAAGCCAATTAATACCATAAAAGAATAAGAATTACCTTTCATCATCTGCCGTTGTAATCCAACAATTCCATGGTTGTCCAAACCCGAAGTTCGGTCCTCAACCGATATTTTACTAGGCCCAAACAAATCTTCCCTAAATTTCACCAATGAAACCAATCCAGTTGTTAGTGATGCTTAACTAATTGAAACTGACAACAACACGAGGAGTGTTATTTTAATACATAATTACTAAATCCGCATGTGTACAGCAGACAATAAGACACCATCAGCGACAACTAATTTCTGCATGAAAAAGCTACCTGTTAGCAAACTTGGACATGTTCAATGCAGACCCCATCTGCTTCGTTCTAGACTTCAGATTTGCAAGCATGTCTTGGCATTTTTGCAACTCTTTATCCCTGAATAACAAGTGTTTAAATGAGTCAACTGCAATTAAATTTAGGTTTGTACTTGTTACTCCTATGAAACAAACAATTTTTTTTAAAAACATAGCGACCAGGTTCATCATTCTGTTGGAGGAATCTATTCAATTATGTCAACAAACAAGGGTCTTAGAGCGAGTTGAATGCTATAGCAAATGTCAAACCCAGGAATAAGATTGATCAGGTGCCAAGTATGTCAAAAATATCAGCAGTAATGCAGCATACCCATGATATCCAGGAATAAGATTGATCAGGTGCCAAGTATGTCAAAAATATCAGCAGTAATGCAGCATACCCATGATATCAAAAATATCGGCAGTAATGCAACGCAGTATGTCAAAAATATCAGCAGTAATGCAGCATACCCATGATATCAAAAATATCGGCAGTAATGCAACGCACCAATGAACCATAACGGAAGGGATCATCCATAAACAGTTTGTTATGTAGTGGAATGATTACAGACGAACTCATATAGCTATCTTTGAAACTAACGTTTATCATGGTAAGAAATTTGCAACCCATTCAGCCATGAAATATCAGAATAATCAGGTAGAGGATAATCAATGCTAGCTAAGTCATTAATCCTGTATCTCAGTTTTAAGGCGATAGCCTCCACGAGTTCTTTAGGACCTCCCTCTTTATATCTGACAACACTAAAAGCATTTATGTTCATTAAACTTGGGTTGGGCCTATGTGCAATCATCTGACTGATGCACATTCTACTGATGAAACTTGACCCAAATCCAATCTAATCCAATCCATTCAGTAGCTAGGATTGTGTTAGAGATTTAATCACATAGCGCTTGGGATGAAAAGAACCCAACATGACTAGCACTGGATTGGGTTAAGATTGCCACCATATCCCACCCCAACCAGGTAAGGAACCCAGCCCACCTAGAGCAACCCATATTTAACAGTTCTTGACGTTTTTTTTTTTTTAAATCTTTGTTTGACCATAAGAAGAATGTTAATTACTCCTCATGACTATATTTCATGATCTCCTCTCAGATTGTAGAATTAAGTGTTTTATCTTGAGCATTGATATGTGTGACGTTATCTATAGAATTGTATTTCTATTTTATTTTTAAATGATACAAGTGGTTGTTTTCATTTAATTCGAACAAAACCCGTCCAACCTGAACTGAATTAATCCTTTTCTTTTAGGGTGTGTGAACACAATTTGACCCCGCATGAACTAATCCTTTCAGGTTAGGACGGTTATTTTCTAATCCAAGGATAAGTTGCGTTGAATTAGTATTAGGATTTCCGCAGCTTCATTCGGATAGGGTTGACCTTCAATTCAATCTCCTCTGCACCCCTAATTTACAGAAAATGAAGACAGCATATAAACAGTAAATTAGCGACATAGTAAAAACAAATTGCAGCAACGCACTGATAAGTGATAAATTGCAAATAATATCAAAGCCTATCCGGTTGTCTATCAATAATTTTTCTCATCTTTGTATAGATCAGACCATAGAATTAAACCTACAAGTTGAAAACCTAACTGCTAATATAGAAGTTAGGAAAACGAAAAAACAGAGATTTATCAGTTAGGTCCACCAGATAAGTTGAGTAAACATAAGGCCTCATCAATTGGGTCCACCAGACAAATCACTTGGACTATAGCATAGCACCAAATCCAATAGTACCATTTCCGCATTACTGAGAAGATCAACCAGTCCAACCTAAAAAGAACATCAAGATGGACAACCAGCCATGAGGTAAAATTGTCAACTAATGTCCAAGAACTTTCACCAAGAACACTCAATTCAAATTTCTAATACAACTGGTTTCTATTAGAAGCAATTGATCTCGGTATCAAACCTTTCATCAGCAAGTCAGTCTAATACACACATAAGTCGTAAATTGTTTGAAATGACCCAATTGGATATGTTTATAAGGTCAATATTTACTTGAAACTCTAGGGTCCTCTCATCTATCAGCATCTTTTTAATGTTTAAATAACCTATCAGATGAAACATGCAGGTTACAATATGTGCAGTTAGTGTAACTAAAGGTTATATTAAGACATTGGATCTCTCTGAGTAGAAAACATGAAGTACCATACTTTGGCTGTTTTCTTGGAACCTTTGACAAAAGGGACTCCAAACTGTCTAGTTTTGTACCAAGAATCGTTATCTTCCTCCTAATTGCAGATGTGTGCCTTTGAGCGTCTGGTCCTGATGAGGGCAGTGAACCCCTTTCAGAAATCATTGCAGAAATATCATCAGCGAGCTTAGAAGCTTCATTGAACTCCCTCAACCATGAATCCATAGATAATGCCATCACTGGAAAAGCATGTACAAACATTATTTTCACAAATTTAATCATTAAACCTGAATAATCTCATCTTTGCAATGTAGACAAACTAAAGTAAATAAACTAAACATGATCACTTATATAAAAATTCATATAACTGAAATGACATAATAGACTTCAACAAGAAGAAAAAGAAGGATCAATAGGAAAGAAAATCATATGATTCCTGTTGTCATTGATGTGTTGGCAATTCTACAAAACGGCACAAAAGATTATTAAGTAGACAACACAAAATAAAATTTGTTATCCCAGTTAAACTTGGTTTGTTTCAGTTCTAATATACTATTTCACCTATTCATACTTTTAAAGGGAAGCACAGCGAGCAAAATAATTGCACTGCATCTTTCCTACATAAATTAATAGGTTCTTTTGTTTAATATACCTAACAAGTTATCTCTTGTGGTAAGCACCATCATTCAAGAATATCGCACGGAATAAAACTATTGCAGTCTTGATATGAAACTGCCATGAATGCCACTATACGTTAGAAGGATGTATCCAATACATTAAAAGTCATGAAAAAGCACCATAATAAGAGAATAACCAATGGGTGTTTAGTGTTCATTGAGTTAAAACCAAACTCACATAAAGTTCCTACGAGGAAACAGGGAACGTGTTCGCTAGATCTAGTATAGTGTCCCGTGCTCCTCTGCTCCAGTCAACGTGCAATTATCAGTTATCTCATACAATAATTGTTCCACTGATATCACTCCCTTACCCTAAGTTGCATGGAAACGGGCACGGGTACTGGTACGGGTGCGGGACACGGCAAAACTGTAAAATGTAGGGTACGGGGACACGACTACATATACATATTGAATTATAATGTACATGAGATAATTTTTCCCCGCTTCCTGTGTCATTAGAATTAAAATTCCGATCACATTTTTGAGTTTCTTTTATCATATTGATTATTGTGAATTGTAAACTACTCATTTTTTTACTAGACATCTAAACGACCCATTAACTATATAGTTTTGAACTTGGGTATGGACTGAAACGAAACCGACCCGTATCTCATTAGTTTCAAAAGACGGATGTGAAGTGTAAGCTCTACGTCTAGGAAGTCTTTGACAAGTGTCTCATTAGTTTCAAAAGACGGATGTGAAGTGTAAGCTCTACGTCTAGGAAGTCTTTGACAAGTGTTTTACATTAACACATATATCGTATAATTGAGTACATGTTGTAATAAATGCATGCATATATTCAAGAAGTGTCCATGAAGTTTGGGTACGGAAAAGTGTCGGGTACGTGTCCGGTACGGGTACGGCTTTAATATAGAAGTACCCGAGTAGCATAGCCCTTACCTATTCTTGTCTACTACACAATAATCAACTTAACTTTATTCAAAGGTATTGGCACATTTCCCATGTCCATATAAACTTATGGGATCAAAACATCGGGGTTGGCTAAGGGGTGAAGGGATCAAACAGAACAATTTTCATTGTCTTAAATATACCTTATTCCCCATAAAGCTAACACTTGAAATATTTAATCGCCACAACTGAAAAAAATCAATGTCCTATAAATTGTTATCAACTCTATATCCAGTCATCAGTCCATTAATACCTAAATACAAACATAATTTGCTTCATCCTAAATTCAAATTTTACACTTTTGGCTTCACAACTCTTAAGCACTTATAAGATCTCAAAACAGCCAAAATCAAACTGATATACAATAAGATTTGAGGAAACACCAATCTCATCACCAGCTAAATCTCGACAAACAACCTAAACAAAGATCCACTTCCAATTGCTTCCAATTGAAAGACAATGAAGATTACAAAATTGAGAAAAGTCTACGCCTGCAATTGAATTGGATTCACGAATAGAATCGAAGCCCTAATTCTAAACAGATCCAATATCAGAATTTTAAAGGAATTTTGAGTATAAAACGGACTGGATGAAGAAATTTGAGGGCTTTGATCAGCCTCGAGGTGAAGAAAGAATGCTTTTGCCTTTTTTTTTTGCAAAATTTAAGATGGCCGGGCTGATAACCGAACCCGACCCGATAAACTAACGGATTATGGCCGGATCTTGTTCGTTTGGACCATCCTTAGATTGGGTATTAAGGTAATAAGTCTTTATACTTTAAAATAAATAGTGGGGCGCCTGGCTCAAATTTTTTAATGGGGTTAGGCTGGACTAACTGGTCCTTTAAAAATGAAATAGTTCAGAGATTTTGGATTAAATAAAAGAGGTGGAGGGGGTGCTATTATATAGTCTGGACAATTTCTAGCTTCGGATTATATATAAAAGAACTCACCCTCTGCAGAAAAGCCTACCGAACCCCAAAGCAAAGATGCATTGTCCAATAAATCTAACATATTATGCTTCGATTTTACGTAGGTAGCATAGTGGTCTCTGCAAATTGAAATTTTTTCTTCTTTTTTCCCCCTCTTTTGACAAAAGTGCACGAGTTCTACAGCCTTTAAATATCATATTTTAGATTATACATAAACCCTACATAGTTATGAGAAACCAGTGTTATCGATCCAAAATTTTCAATTTTTCCCCTCCTTTGGTCCTAATCTCTTCGATCACTGATTCAGTTCAATCAGTGCGAACGTTCGGCGAAGAAAGGACTTTGAAAGACTTCAAAAAATCAACAGGAAAAAAAAAAATTCACAAGAGAAATATGTGCACCTGTTCCAAAGGTCGGGCTTCGGGAGAGAGTCTTCAACGGTTGAGACTTGGAAAAACCCTCAACGACGTCGAGAGAGAGAGAGAGAGAGAGAGAGAGAGAGAGAGGAAGGAGGCAGAGAGCGGAGCGATGGGAGGAGGAATTTGGGGATTTTTGGGGCTTGGACGAACGATGCGATCACGGGAGATGAATTTTGGGGATCAATCTATTGACTATAAAAATCTCTTTATTTGCGGGTATCGGGTCGGGTCTGAAAAGTCGGGATTCTATTGCCCAAAACCCAATTATGAAAAGTCGGGTATCTGGTGTGCACCCCGTGCCAAAGCACCAGCCCTTTTTTTCATCAAATTAAATTTTTTGTAAATGCTACAGTATTTTTTAAAGCGCTACGGTTTTTAATTTTGTACTACAGTGATATTGATACAGTAATACTACTATAGTAATTCCCCTTGAACGTTTTACTTAGCATAAATAGTGAATATTTGGATCCTCCTATAAGTATAGACACTGTGATGACGCGTTTTTTTAACGTGTGGGGGCCACACGAGTACAGCAGGCCACCATGGATCACGTGAACCCAAGCCACGTGAAGAGATCAAAAGAAAAAACGCGTGAGCAGTTTGTATTTGATTTCCTTGGATGTGGTGATGGCCCACCCGAGTGAGAGCTTTATAAGTTCTCTTCCTAGGGTTTCGTAAAAACTGTGCAAGATTGAGAGGGGGATTAGGCAGGCGGCTGGGTGCAAAGGACAGCGCTGGCAAAGGCGAAAAAGTGGGGTTCGGTACAGGGAGAAAAGTCGGCTTGTTTTTCTTCTTCCTTTGGCAGCGCGCATGTGCAGAAAGAGGGCTTCTGTTTTGGCAACTGCAGCAGGGGAAATCCTAGGGCTCTGTGAAGAGAAAAAGTATTTGGAGGCTGACCTTTTCTTGTGAAGAAAAGCAAGGAGCCTATTTGAGGGTTTAGATTGTGAGAGTTGTAAATCCATTGTTTTTTTTTTCTCTTTAATAGTAGATCCCCCCTCCTTGCCCCGTGGACGTAGACAGTTTGCCGAACCACGTAAAATCGGTTTGTTTGAATTTGTGGCTATTGTAATAGTTTTTAGGATCCCTCGACGCGCAGTCCTAGAGCTGACGAGAGGAAGAGCTAATATCCCACTTTGATGAGATATTAGGCTTCAGATTCTTGTTCCCTTTGAGAAATAAGAATTCTTATGCTAATATCCCACTTTGATGAGATATTAGGCTTCAGATTCTTGTTCCCTTTGAGAAATAAGAATTCTTATTGATCTTTCTCTCTTATTATGCACCAGAAACTCTGCCGAAATTTTCGCTGCGCACAACAAGTTGTATCAGAGCCTAGATTCCAGATCTAGGGTTTGGTTGGAGGAGTAGATCAATTTGGAGGCTCGTTTAGGGCTTCGTTGGTGATAAAGGTGGGATCTTTTGGTAAAGACTTTATCTTTTTAGTTTTGGATCTATTCTTTGTTCGTTGGTACGTAAGATGTCGGGGAAAGAAGGTGCTTCGGGTGTCGAGGGTGGTGCTTCTGGCGCGAAGACCATTCAGAGTTTGAATATCCACTCTATGAAGATAGATGTGGAGAAATTTAATGACACAAACAATTTTGGATTATGGAGATGCGAGGTTTTGGATGCGCTGAATGCGCAGAATTTGGAGGATACATTGGAGTTAGATGGCAAGCCAGATGAGATTGAAGAGAAGGTTTGGAAGAAGATGAATCGAACGGCGTGTGGTGTGATTAGGTCTTGTTTGACTCAAGATCTAAAATATGATGTGATGATTGAGACTTCTACGAAGAAGATTTGGGAGATTCTCGAAAGCAAGTATTTGACCAAGAGTGTGAAAAATCGCTTGCATTTGAAGAGGAGGCTTTATCGTTTCCAGTTGAAGAAGGGAACATCCATTAGAGATCACATGAACCACTATACAAAGCTTCTTGCGGATTTGGCGAATGTGGATGTCATGATTGAAGATAAGGACAAGGCGTTGCTGTTGTTGAGTTCCTTGCCCGACGAGGAATATGAGACCTTCGTCCTTACTCTGATTAATGGGAAGGCATCTCTTTCGTATAGTGAGGTCATCGCTGCACTTGTGAATTATCAGCTTCGAAAGAAGGATAAGGAGGCTTCAGTTGAGCCGGTAACGGAGGCGTTGGTCGCAAGAGGGAAGGGTCCAAACCGAAAGAATTGGAAGTCAAGGTCTAGAATAGGAAAAGATCAGTGTGCTTGGTGCAAGGAGACTGGTCATTGGAAGAAAGACTGCCCAAAGCTCGACGAATGGATGAAGAATAAGCAGAAGGGAAAATGGAAGCAACCATCATCAGAAGCAAACATCGTATTGGATGGTAATAATTCTGACTCTTCTATTTATTCGCACCATCATCAGAAGCAAACATCGTATTGGATGGTAATAATTCTGACTCTTCTATTTATTCGCTTTCTATTAGTCCTACAGATAGCTATTCAGAGTAATCTGAATGGATGTTGGATAGTGGTGCGACCTATTATGTATGCCCTAGAAGGGAATGGTTCTCCAGTTTTGAGAAGCTGGATAGTGGTGTGGTGTACATGGCTGATAACCATGCATGCCAGATCCTTGGGATAGGAAGAATTCGTATTAAGATGTTTGACGGGACTTTTAGGGAGTTAAATGATGTGAGATATGTTCCTTCTTTGAGAAAGAACTTGATCTCAATTGGGGCTTTGGTTGGAGAGGGTCTGAAGGTTCGTGTTGAGGACATAGTTCTCGAGATCGTGGAAGACTCTTAGATTGTGATGAAGAGCGTCAGGAGGAATAACCTGTATTACTTGACTGGAGGTATAGTGACAGGTGGAGAGCTGGCGACTTCTGTTGATTCGACTAGACTGCGGCATTTGGGGCTTGGCCATTCCAGTATTGATTCCTCGCATAGATTGAAAGAGGGTGCGAAGACCTGCAGTTTGAAGTCCAGTGAACATGTTGATGTGAGCAAGAAGACCAAGGTGAAGTGTGGCACCTCTATTCACCGTGCTAAGGGTCGTTCTAGAGGAGTTCACGTGGATGTTTGGGGGCCTTCCAAGGGAGCATCATTGGGAGGTAATAGAAGTTTGGTTTCCTTTGTTGGTGACTGTTCTAGGCGTGTTTGGGTTGCAACCAAATCCCCTATGGATAAAGTCCTAGTAGTCTCTAACAGTTTGAAGAAGTGTAAGATGGACAGAAAGGTGAATGTACTTCATTCTGATTTTGATGGGAGGTAAAAGATGGACCTGATTCTATATTGGAACCGAGCTCACGGCATTACGAGACACTTCGTTAGAAAGGAAATCTTGAGGCAACTAGATAGAGTGACAAATTTGGAGAACCGTGCCTTGTGTAGGCGTCAAAAAATGCTCATAGATATCCAAACACTACTCAAGAATGAGAAAAGAGCAGTGTGGACACAATGATAAATACACCAACAACCGAGCCAGGGTGACATGCCTTAGGCGCGGCAGTTCAGAGTGCCGCGCCTTAGGCGCGGCAGTTCAGAGTATCGCGCCTTAGGCGCGGCAGTTCAGAGTGTCGCGCCTTAGGCGCTGCAGTTAAAGGTGTCGCGCCTTAGGCGCGGCAGCTCATGGTGCCGTGGCTATTATGGGGGGTGCTGCGGCAGTTATAAAGCAGTTATACGATGATTTTTTGAAGCCCACGTGGCGGCATATCAGAAATAGAAAGTGTGCTGACGTGGACAAGCAGTTAAACCACGAAAAAGGTGGTTAAAGGTCGTGGGAGAACGGTTTCAAGCACAATGAAACGTGCTGGTAACCGCCCCTTTGGCCGCGGCGGTCCACACTGCCGCGCCAATAGCCGCGGCAGTATCGACTGCAGCGGCCAAAGAGGATTCATCGAGTCAGTTGTTTCGCCTCCATTTCAACTGTTGTGCATCCCTACCCCTATAAATACCTCCCTAGGCACGAAATAAAGGACAGAGAGAGCATTTTGGAGCAGAAGAGACTGGAGCTTTTGTGGATTTTGAGGAAAAAGAGAGAATTTTCACCCTTTGACAAGTATCATTTGGTGATTCCTAGAGATCTAAGCTCAAACTTGATCTTTGGAAGAGTGAACATCTTACATCGATAAGATATTCACTTTCAAATCTTTACTTCGATAAACTAAACGAAGGAGAGATCCCTAAGCACCCTCACGATCTTTGAATCGGTGGTCAACGAGCCAAAGCACTCACGGCACAGGCAAAGTCCCACAAAGCAGGAGTTGATAAACAATTTCTGTGTTATTTTCTCGAAAGTTGTATTTTCGTTTATTTTTATTGTAATTTCGTGTAAACAAATCAAAGTTTAATGGAATCGACAATGGAGTCAACTTTCGCTGAAAACACCTTGCTGGAGGAGGATCGATGTTTGTGGTCGAGCAATGGTTTGCAGAAGAGGTTCTGGACTGAGGCTTCGACATATTTGAGTCATCCTATTAAAAAGTTGCCAACTGTTGCGATTGGAGGTAAAACTCCATTGGAAGATAGGTCTGGTAGTGTCACTTTGGTTGAGGCTTCGATGAGGAAGCCAATTGACTCTCAGCAGGTGGAGAGTTTTGGACAGACCTTAGAGGTATCGCAGCGGGTGGAGATTGATGCTACTCCATATTGGGTGGGGATTTTCCCACATACTCCAGGTCATTCTGCATTGGTTGAGATTCCAGCTGAGGTGACACAGCGTGGAAGTCATTTGGATTCGGATGCAGATGATGAGTTGGGTTTTGATTCGAGTGCAGCTTGCAGATATAGTTTGGATATGGTCATTGGTTCACCTCAGGTGGAGGTGTTTGAGGCCATTGGAGGTGCTATCAGCCGCAGAGTTGATGATATTGGAGAAGGGTTGCGAACTCTTCTATTGGATTGAGGTCGTTCGCGGCCATTTGGGTGAACTACGTTCGGCTTGATTCCTTAGGCAAGAGGATACGTATGCAGTCTTTACGATGCAGCCGGGTTGGATTTTGATGGGGGTGAGACCGATTTGGTGAGTTGATACCGATATTTGGAGAGTGTTTGCACTCTCATTTGAGTTCTCGACTTGTTATGGATTGAGTCCGTTGTCGTGAATTGTTTCACTTTGTACTGGACACAACAAGTGAGATATTTGGTTTAGTTGGTGTCGACTCAGTTTTGGGAAAACTTCGCTGAGGTGGAGAATTATGATGA